AAAAAAAAAAAAAAAAATAAAAAAACCCTAATCTAACTATTAAGGCCTCTATATTAGACCCGCATCAGGGGTTTCATACTTACACAGCTGAAGTTCCAAAGCACGGAAGTCGGAGCCGAGGTGGAGCAAAAGGTGGTGACCTCAGAGGTCATTCCGTTTGACATGTTTTTTGACAGACTATCAGGCTCATATAAAACATGAATACCGGTAATAATATGGTTGTTGTTCTTGTTAGTATCATTGCTCCAGCCTTTTGGGCTGCTTCTTGCTGCTCGTTTGTGTTTGGTGTCGTTTGCAGATTCAGGAAAGTGGGTTCAGGTTGGGATCTGGTGAGAGGTTCTTTAGCTGCCTTGTGCCGGCCAGGTCCAGCTCCTAGGTTAGTTTGGAGTCTGGGCTTTCAGGAATTCCCGAGTTCGGACTCTCATACTCTGCCACCTGACAAGCAGCACTCGAAGGTCCTGTCGAAACGCCTAAGCTGCCTGACTGGGCACAGGAAAGTAAAACTGAATCTATCGATCAGACTAGTTCAGCTCCTTGCCTGCTTGTAGTCTTCTGTCGTTTGTTACCAACTGCAAAGCCAACCCAGATCCGAGACAGTTTGAAAATTGGGCACATGCAACAGGCCGAAAGTCCGAAGCCGAAATCTTTATGTGAGGTGGCTGGGATGCGCCCTGCCGCCATGTCGCCGGAGGAAGAGAGGGGAAGTCGGGGGAAGAGGGAAATTGTCAAAGACTGTGCCCGGTAGCAGGTAGGGCCCCCTCGGATCAGAGGGATCCCTAAGATTTCAACGCCCAAGCCCCGGCTTCTGATGAGACTTTCACCTTGAGGTCTTGCTACGACACCTACCTGACAGGTCATTCCTCAAAAGCCGTAGCCAGCCCGATAATACCCTAGAGAAGCCGAAAGGCTCGAACCTGCAATAGAGCTTCTCAAAACCAACCCTAAACCCTAAACCCTAAACGCCCTAAACCCTAAACCCTAAACCCCCTAAACCCCCTAAACCCCCTAAACCCCAAACCCCAAACCCAAAACCCTAAACCCTCAACCCTGCTAGGCCGCCAGCGCCTTCCTCCCGCAGACAGCGCCTGACTTCCCGACACCCACTGTCGGGAACCAAGGAGTCCAGTGAGCTGCGCATTGGGAGCCCTCATACCTGTTATAATGGACTTTTGGGGTTCAGGGTTTTAGGGGTTTAGGGTTTGGGGTTTAGGGGTTTAGGGTTTTAGGGGTTTAGGGTTTAGGGACTTCACTCAGGAGGTAGCGCAGGAATATGTTTTCAGGACACCGTTCTTGGTCGAAACTTGTGACTTTGGCTGGTTGGTTGAAGGGATCGCCACTGACATCTTTGGCAGTGTGCACTGTTGTGTGTTCTTTGCCCGATGGTCGTGTAGTCGCCAGCATATCTTCGTTCAGTACAGGGTTGTATCAGTCTGATCTAGCCTAGCCTGCATCAATATCCGGATCAAGGCACCCATATGAAAGGACTCCCGTTGCAACTTCTGGAATGATAGGTGTTTAGGCTAAAGAGCTATACTGCTCAAGCCTAGACCTTTTGGAGGCTTGATTTCGCAAATGAAGGGGCCAGACACCTTACAATAAACTCGTAGCGAAAGCTTTGGGGCCCTTGCCACAGTATCAATCACCACGCTGACAGTTGAAGTGAAGTATGTAGCAAAAATCAGGACAGCGCTTGTAGCAACGAAATGGTGATGGACCGCAAACTCCTGTCACTGGAGTTTCAGATGCGCACGCCTGAGTTTTGCAAGCTGAAGCCCAGCCGTGACCTCACCTAAGTGAATAGATTTTGATGAACCGGCCGTCCCGCCACCAAGTCCATGGCCTCTGGGCCCTTCGGCGCGCTTCCTGCCACTGCTTCCGGGATCATACAGGCAATGTATGGGCCGACGGGGGTTCCGGATTGAGGGCTGCATGGCTCAGGGTGAAGTGTGATGGTCTTCGCTCTGAGGCGTGGCTGTGATCATACTGGTACAAAACGCCACCAGTCATATTGTGGACAGCCTGCTAGTTTGAGTCTTCGGCCATGAGCCGCCACCTCCTCACTCGCAGTGTGGTCCACTTTCAGATGCTGGACTCAACACAAGTGTGAAGCTGAGCTCCACCCTGCAAGAGGCCTCGCCCAGCGCCTGCGGTGCCTCGCCTGCGGGCGCCGCTCGGCAGGATCTTCGGATGTTGCGGGAGCGTGTTTTCGGACTCGAGCGGCCGCTCCTCAAACGCGGCGAGTGTTCTCAGCGGAGTGAGGCACTGGCCAGCAGCTGCCTCGGGGCAGCGCCGGGGGAGGCAGACATTTCCCAGGCGGGATGTGGAGAAAACCTGTCGAGCGCGTGAACTTTCAGAGAGGGAGGGTTGGAAATGCGGCTGCGTTGTCGGTGACTGGACAGAGCCTGTCTACTGCATTGGTGCCGCTTGTGAAAGCGTTGTGCAGGCGTCTGTTTGCTGCGGCACGTCGTGATGCTAATAGAGTAGTATGTCCAACAAAAGCAGTACTTCGATCATGGCCGTCGCACAGAGATGGTTTTAAGTGACTACGTTTTGCCAATATTGTACGTCATATACGGTTGTGGCATGCGAAAAGTCTGCTGCTTACAAGGCTAAGTGTGGGTGTGGCGCCCTTGGAATTTCCCATCTGCAACTTGCCTCAGATTCGTCAAGACCACATCCTGGAAGGTGAGAGCCTTTGGCAACCCACCTCCCTATGCCAGCGACCCGGAAGTTGCATCCAGCTCTGCACGTTTTGCGAGTCTGACTCGGTGCTCAAATTCGGAGTCTTCACTGCCCAGATCGCGGTTTTGAGGCTCCTTTGAAATGCCCTCTCGAGGCCTCACGGAGAGAATAGGAGGCCAGCCTTCACTCTAACTCTCTGGGTTCAACTTCTGAGAGACCCCATATCACCAGGTCCTGATCAACAACCTTATATTATAAGGGCACGATCCGAGCACAGGCCTGGTTTCGAAGCGCGATTCGAGCACAAAGACACATGCAAGTCAAGCGTGCGCATTGAAGAGGTTTGCGGATTAGGGTCTTTATAGGGTTTGCGACTGTTCAGGTTTCGGATTGTGCAGGGTTGTTTTAACAACCAAGGGCTGCTTTGGTCTTTAAAGTTTTTGGGATCTAGGGCCTGGAGGGTTGGGCCTGCAAGAGTTTACAAGTTACGGTGTTGAAGGTTCAGGGCGCTTGCAATTTATGGTTTTTGGGGTTTAGGATGTTTGCTTCTTTGGGTCCATTTTTTGTCAAACTTGGCGTGCTGTATTTGGGGTTACGGGGCTGTGGGCCGTCCAGCACGTGAAGTTTCCGTAGGCGAATCCGGCCTGTACATGAGCGAATCCCGGGTGCACGAATGTCGCCAGAACGCGAAGCAGCCGCTGTGAACATCACTGTTGTCACAACTGTTGTCCATGCACGAGTCCGCTGTGCGCGACTCCGCCCTCCGGTTTAATTGTAATGTATGCGTGTATTTTTGTATGAATGAAGGAACGAATGTATGTATACATGTATGTATGTCTGTTTGTCTGTTTATCTATCTAGCTAGCTAGCTGGCTCTCTACCTGCCTACCTACCTACCTACCTACCTACCTACCTACCTACCTACCTACCTACCTACCTATCTATCTATCTATCTATCTATCTATCTGTCTACCTACTTGTGTAGCTATCTAAGACACGTCGTACCATTAACTGAGCTGCAACCAAAGGCCATGGCTTCTGGCCTCGATTTCACCCAGGCCTGGCTTCTTCAAAGACGACGCTCTGCAGTCTCTGAGATCCCCATACAATACACTATAACGCTATAGTATAGTACATTATCGTGCCACAATATAAGATACCAAAACGGACTGTTTATTTAGGACCATAGCATACCCGAGTATAGGATACGATGACAGTCTGACATGTTGGGTTGAATGTTGCAAGGATGCAGCGGCCTCCAGTCCTTGTCTGGCCATGTCTGGCCTTGCTTGTCCTCGTTCAGAGTCTTTTTGGTTTAGAGCTTAGGGTCCTTTGTGGGTGTTCCTGATTTCTGTGCAGAAGCAAGGCGTCATTGTCGTTGGTCACAGCAATCTATAACTTGCATCGGGGATGAGCTGTGATCGACTGCTTCTGTCGCTGGGTTTGTGTCTGCACGTGGCCAGTTTCGTGTTTGCAGTCTCAAGTGATTCCACAGGGCCCTTTCACCTGCAGTGCCTAGCTCGAGCACTGCACACTGACCGACGAGTTGCCCAGAGGCACGTAACCGACTCCGTGCTGCTGTTTTCCGACATCGATTGTCTCTCTTCTTGCTCCCGCCTTCCTTCGTCAACTTTCTTTCGTGGCCTGCAGCGTCAGAGTGTCGGCATGTGAATGTTGGAGGTCGGGGCCCCTGGAACACCCAGCTCCAATGCCAGCGGCCTGAGTGTCTGCGCAATATACTGAGTAATCCGTAGTTGTGGCTCTTCCGCTTGCGTCTCGTGGTCTTCACACAGGAGGATCTTCGGAAAGGGAGATCCCGAAGCGTAGTTCGGCCCAGGTTGTGTCCTGATTGGTCCCCAGTCTCAGGCATGACAGCGCAAAGCTTTAAGGCCTCCGGCCCTGCGACCTCAAGTTGAAATCCTTTCGGGTTTGTTTGTCTGCTAAGATCTTGAGGCAGACCCGGGCTGCCGGACCACACGAAACCATCCCCACACTCGAACATCTCGAACCTCCCACGCCCTCGCAAGAGCTGTTGATGTGAAAAGGCCCTGGCCGGTGGCCTCGAGGCGACCCAGGTAAGCCCAGGGCCTGGAGGGCGAGGGACAGAATCGAGTCGCCACTTCTGCTTCGACATGTTCCGGGATTTGCCTGCCGGAGTGTGCCGCTCGTGACAGACTACAGAACGTGTAAAACCGTTGAGCTGCTCGGTAGTTGGATGGGCGCTTTTGTCCAACAAGCTTCCCCGCCCCCAATTGTTGGTTGGACTTTGTCAGAAGTTCCAGGGCGCTTCGTCGTCTGAACTACATGCAGCTTGTCCCATGGCCGGTCCTCTTTTTCTCAAGCCTGAAGTATCTACTGCCGGGGGCTGTTCTGATTGCAGCAGGGCCTCTGGTGGTAGCGCACCCTCTGTGAACTAAACCTATTGAAGCAGCAGGCATGCCTACAAGGAAGCCTTAGAACACCCCCCTCATGACCTTTGATTTTCGCGAGCTTCGCGGCCCACCCTGTCTCATCTCATCCTGACACCTGGCTTTTCAACAAAAGTCATGATTTCTAGAACCACCACAACCCGAATCCTCCTGCGCCCTGCACTCCCTGCCCTCAATCCGAACCTCACGCTTCTGCGGGCAGGCGGCTTCAAATCCTTTCGGCACGCCTGCGGCTGCGGACCCGGGCCCTTGGTTTAAGGCGGTAAGAAGAGCCGCTTCAAGGTTTCAGTTTCAGGGTTTGAAGTTGAACGGTCAAGGCTTGTAACATTGTAGGAGTTGAAGTTTGTGTTCTGTTGCTTTGTGGGTTAGGCGCCGAAAAGAGCGCTGATCCAGGGCTTGGCTTTCGAATCAGGTCTCGCACACAGGTCATGGAGATCCCTACCAGCAGCAGGCTAAGACATGCCTAGGAACTACAGCTCTGGTGGCAGACCTGTTGGCGACCAAGACCCTAAGACCTTACCTGGAATTTTCAACACCTGCGAACTCTGAACCCTCTGGCCGCAGAGGTTATCTCTCCCTGTCTTTACCACTCCTCGCATATGTACATAATAATTCATGCGGTGCACTGTTGCTGCACTTATCGACATCTACATCTGTACGCGCTGTTGCTCTGTTGCCCGCACAGAGGCCCTTGCAAGCGGGCGCTGCGCCTCCGGCATCTCCGACATTTCTCAGGTGGGAGAGAGAACTCAAGACTTATATCAGAGCATAGCAGAGTAGAGTTTAGTATAGTTCAGTTCTTTGTAGAAAAGTAAAGTCCAAGAGAATTTGCGTTCGTACAGTAGAGTATAATATAGTAAATCCACAAGACCAAGACTCTGGGCCCCTGGCTGCACTTGGGTTCAGGGGTTTGGGGTTTTAGGGCTTAGGCTTTATGGATTACCTCGAATGCTACTGCACCGTGTCAGGCTTGTAAACCCCTTGCCCAGGGACCCAGCACCTATGAAAGGTAAGGCCGTTTGGGATGCCTTCGCCTGGCGAACAGAATGCTGCGCCGCACCAAGTTTTGGGTTGTGGGTTCGTGTAAGTTTCGTTCTGGACCTAATTGTGTTCAGGGCTTGCAGTTGTTTCAGGACAGTTGTGAAGTACGGGCGGAGCTCTAATCCAAGTTCTCCGGCCCGCTTAATTAAGGGTTCAGCTTTCAGAGTGCTCTCATCCACTTTGTCAATCGGACGAAGGCATTCCACAAGGTGCCACACTCGCTACAGGTGACTTGCAGTCATCTGACCAGCCACGTCAATAGCAAAGTTGCACTGGCATGGGTCAAGAGGCAAGGCCAAAGTCGAAAACAGCACAAGCAGGTTGAGATTCCGTGCCAAGAGCAGCAAACCAGCAGTTGGACCTGAAAAGGCTTAGGATTCAGCTGCCATACCGAGCAGGGGATCCCTAAGTCCTATACGAGAGCCCTACACACTTCTTTCGGCGAGCTAAGCTCAGACAGGCACGCCGGTACACACGATGCTTGTGGGGAAATCCCGACCAGTCGGTCTGGGTTTTATGGGTTTAGGGTTTGGGGTTTGCCAGGAAAGCTAAGCCGGCTTATTGCAGGCGCACAGAAGCGCAACATAAGCCACAACGGCCACCGAAGCCCCGACATAGAAAGCTCAAGAGAAAGCCTACGCCCCGACGACCACCGAGTAAGAAGATTTCCAAGAACACTCCACCAAGGCAGAAAAGCGAAAGCAACCAAAATCAAGCGTGCAGACTTCGCGCATCACGGCGCAGTGTGGAACGTGCCGGTCAGCAACTGCATCAGCATCGAACTACAGCAACATAGCCGCCAGGAATGAAAGAAAGTGCCTAACAGTTGCCAGGGTCAGAGCTAATAACAAGGGTCAGTCTGGTCCAAAATTGCGGTAACAGACCCAGAACCTGTTCTTGCATCGGCAACTCTTCGTCCTTGCCTCCCGAACCCTCTGAGGCCGTCCCAAGCGGACTCCTGGGGGCCTCCGGTGTGTCGGACATTTCCCAGGTCGATTTTGCAATCCACTGATACAGGGTGATCCCGGCTCTTGAGAATCGAATCATGGTCCAGGGGTTTCTGACTTTAGGCTTTGGTGTCTGAGGGTTGGCGTTGCTACAATTTCAGGTTTCCGCGGTTCCAAGCGGTTCAAAGTGGTTCAGGGGTTGTTCTGGTTCGGAAGCTTGCCGGATTTGAGGATCTGAGATTTTGATTTAGCTGAGAGGTTTGCTGGGTTCTGGACTTTGACTAAACCTGTTTAGCTTCTCGGCTTGGGCAAGATTGGGGATTCAGGACTGAATTGTTAGCTTTCGGGATCATGAGTTTTGGTTTCTGACCGGCCGAACCCTGAAAGCCTAAAGTCTCAAAGCAGCCTGAATCTTACACCTGTCTCCTTTTGCTCGGGAGGTGCGGCCTTTTGGGGGGCCAATGGGCGTTGAAGCAAATGCTCCCGGAGTGGCTCGGCGTTGTTAGGTTCTATGATTTGGTGACGAGGTTCCTGGTTTTTCAGCCTTGTGCTTCAGAAGAACATGGGATCTTCGTAAAATTATAGGAGCTCGTGTTCGGGGGTGATCCGCGAATTTTGTGCGGGTTGGAGCCTCGAGAGTTCTAAGGTTTCAGGACATTAGGGCTTCAAAGTCCCAAGCCGTTGGGATCCTGGTGGGCATTTAGGGCTTACCCGTTCTAGAGGGACCTCTGGCTCAGGGGCTCAGAGTTTTCATTCTTGACTCAACTTCCGAGGCCTTTCCCAGTGGTTGTGTCGGGGCCTCCGCGGTGTCTGACATCTCTCAGGCGCGATGGTGAGATGTTGAGATTGGGAATCTGGTTTAGCAGTTTAGTTGAGTGACAATTCAGCAAAGAGCGCAGAATGCTCACTCTAAGAGAATCTTGCGGGAGAGGTACCTGTGGTGGAGGACTCATTTTCCGACATTTAGAATTTTAAAATTTAGAATCGAGGCCGTGGCTGGTTGAAGATTGTTGAAGGCACAAAGTTAACACAAGCAGAGCCCACAGTTTTTGGTTTTTGTCAGGCGAAATCCAGACCTCCAATGATCCAAACTGGACCCTGTGCCCAGAACCTGCGAAGCAAAGGCCTTACGCCCAAGCCGTAAGAGCAGCGAACAGGTCCGGCCTTTTGGGGTTCCCACTGCCGGCGTGGTGCGCAGGGTATCGATGGGGGCACAGCAGGATATTGTTCTGGGTAAGATTGGGATGCTTGTTGGTATTTGACATAACTCTTGCCATTGAAGTTTCTTTTTTGGGGAAGTGCTCGGGCCCACGAGTCCCAGAAGTTGGGGACGGTGCTAGCTTTGCCTCCGGCCAATGGGTACCAAACTCCAGCCCGAATTTGTTCTCTCTGCAGGGGGCTTCAACTCTCGGGTGGATGTTTTGGCGCAGGGCTTCGCTGTTAGAGATCTCTGCTACCATTCGCAAGTTGACAGAGCGTGTGACACCCTGTCGTCTCAAGTGCCAGGGCTGCTGTGGTGGGCAGTCCAACAAGGCTGGGACAGGCTTCAGACTAGCCCCTTGAGTGTAGAGTGTAGAAGGTCCGATGCCCAACACCTTAGCCTTTTGGCCAACAGGCGTGTGAGCCTCAATCCCTGGCCCTGAAGCACTGGAAGCCCATCCATGCCAAGTCTTCGAAGAGGTCATAGACGCATCGCTCCCGCCGACGCTCCCGCCGTCGCCGGCACGCCGGCGGAAACAAGTGCTCCATAGATGGGTTAAGCTTGAGGCTTAAGGCTCGGCTTCGGATCAGATCGACCGGGCGGCGATTTGCCGACTGGCAGCACAGCGGAGTCACAACGGCCCAACAAGCCCGAAATGCCTTCGCTTGGCAAAGGCCAGCTCGATGCAGTTCGGCTCGCAGTGGCCGACGGAGCAGGTTCTGCCGGCGCCCCTCGACCCGTTCAGGCAAAAGGGGGGTGGGCATCATGTTTTGTGTTAGGGCTGTTAGGGGCAATATTGCTACCGGGGCCTCAAACGAAGAACCACAAAGCCTGAACAAACACCCCTCAGCCCCCAGATCTCTCCCCGCTGTAATATCTGGAACTTGTGAGAATCTGAAAGCTGTCTCCAAGGACAGCAGGGCCTCCAGCTGCCGGTGGCCGCGGAACTCCTGTGACCCGGCTTTCCATGGTTTGGGATTAGCCTGACTTTCCCAAACCCCGCGTGACAGATTCCCCAGTTTCAGCATTCTACTTTTCCGTGGAGCTATGGCCTTGTCCTGAAGAAGGTCGTGCCAGTGAACCTCCCGCTGCAATATCTCATCCACAGTATGAGTTGTTTCTTCCAGAAATGCAGAACTGGAGGTGGCCTCCCGACAGCTCTCGCCCAGCCAGGTGCGCACGATGCGAGGGAAACTGGCAGCCCAGGATTGCGAGAAATCAAGCCTGGAATCGAGGATCAGACCGCTGCAACCTATCGAGAAAGCAAGAGAGCAAGCCTCGCCAGACCTCCAGTTTAAGACATCCTGACGATCTCGGCGACACCGACGTAAGGCGGCCAGCCCTCAAAACCACCCCAGACCCAGAGTCGAAACAGGCAGTCGAGCTCTCTTGTGCCCCTCAGTTTCATGGCCCACTGAACCTGAACCCTGGGGAGGCCTGAAAGAGTCTTTTGACTTAAAGCCTTGGGATACTTCAACTTCGGAAGGCCTCCATACCACCCTCGCCGATGGGCACCACCCAGGCCTGGACCCCCGAAGACGCTTGGATCGCCTTCCTCGTCTAGAGTCTAGGGTCTTCAGTGCAGATCTGGGTGTGAGAGTGCGTATATGCGTGTGTCCGCTTCGTTTTCTTCTTGTGGACTTGGGAGGGGTCCCGTTTGGATGGAACCTGCTGTCCAGTGTGCTGGGGACCGACTCCGCGAAAGGAGACCGTAGTGTCCGAATCAGGGCGCTCTCGGGTTAGGGTGGTCTCTTGCCATCAAGGTTGGTGCTTCTACTCAGACCAAAATGTCGACGCAAAATGCCGACGCAACCATACCCAGACCAGCACTTTCAGTCTGAAGAAACCCAGCATCTCAACTAGAAAACAGGCTCCACAAAAACGAGGCAGGTGCTAGCACCTGAAGGCCCTCAGAACGCGCTGCGGAGGTCGGCCCTCCCACTGCAGCTCTCCCTGTCAGGGCCCGAGTTGCCCACAGTGCTTCCCCATTCGAGAGCACAAGGCCACTAAGGGCGCTGTTGAGGCTCCCAAGTGTAAGATTGTCATCGCGAAGTCGGGTTTGCCAGGGCTTCGGGGCTCAGGGCTTGAAATGACTTTCGGGCTTCAAAAACGAACGGAATTTCCCCTTGAAATCCACGTGGGCCAGGGTGGTCCTCCACTGCTACCTGGAGGCTCGGTGAGGCACGGACGATTTTTGCGAGTCTTTAGCTCGAGGATGGGCCGAAAACAGATGGTGGGGCTTGGAGTTGATGATTCTGGCTTCAGGGTGTTTGCAAAACTGGTCAGGGATTCACACTCAAGATGCAGTGTCGCTTCAAAGCCTGAGTCTACAGCCAAGTCGACTGCTTCATGCAGTGCCCCCACCCCCCCGATCCCAAAGCTTCAGTATCAAGTAGAAGCCCATTCTATGTCTGGCCTTAGGTTGGCTCCCATCCTGACCTCCAACTACAAGTAACCCAGAGCTCTGATCCCTGTTCGCTGAAAGTGGCCGAGCAGGGCTCCTGGCACAGGTGAGTTCGGATCGCCGCTTCGGCTGCAGAGGGGCAGTTGCTCCCTTTGTAATGATAACTGTCAGAGACATTAGCAGCCATTAGCAGCTGCAGGCATGAAAGAATACTGTTCCTTTATACTGACAGTAGTTGCAATTAACATGGTCATAGCTACGGGAACGGCCACATGCATACGCCAGGAGGTTAAGCAGGGCTTACTTGTGCGGGCTTCATGCCGAATTCCAGAGGTTATGTAGCTCGGGGAGACTCAGTGCCATAGCTTCCGCTTGTTCTGAGTTTGCTGCGATACGATGGGCACCATAAATAACATTGAGTCGCATTCTGCAGATCGCAGGCATGAGATAACAAGCATAGCTGTCAATGCCTAGTGACTATAGCTACAGGTGCAAACATCGCCAGAAGAAGAACAGGTTTGCCAACAATGCTGGCAACAAACACATGCAATGACAAGGTCAGCACGGCATCGTACAGTAGTGGCGCGAAGGCGTTCATTTGGCAAGAACGACGGCATCCCCTCTGCCAGGAAACTGAAGCGGGCAAGCATCTGAGACGTAGCTTGCCACGACCAATCTAATTTTAACGTCGCGAGTAGCAACACGAATAATTAACAACTCTGCGCGCTTCTGGTTCTTCTAGTGTCTCGCCCACCATCATCATACCGACCAGCATCATCGTCATCGTCATCATCATCATGATACGTCACCGCGTGCGTCAACATGGTTATCAACATCATCACCGTCAACCGCTATCGCTATCACGTCTGCTGGTAAAAGGCCCGCGCTTCAGCAATCTTGTCAGATGGCAAACAGTTAGTGACTCGCCTAAGGCCCGGCCTGCTGCCCGGTCCTCCAGAGGAGTTTTCGGGGGGTTTCAGAGTGTTTGATGCGTATAGACAAGTCTAGCCCCCTTCCATGGTTCATTGTTGGTGGTACGCCAGCCTGTTTTTGACATCTTGTGGGCAGTAACTCTTGGCTCCCTTTGATGATTGTTGATCCGGTTGGCGCTGATTCACAGTTTCGGTTTCGTGGTTTGTGGTTTTGGGCCATGGCTTTGGAAGGCTTGCGGTTTAACTCTGACCTTGATGAGGTTTGAGCGGCACAAGGGCCTTCCGTGGAAAACGGGGGGGGGGGGGGTTCGAGCGCAGGATTAGGCGTTGTGGATTGCGTATCGAAGGTTTCTGATCGCTGGAGCTCGGAAACCCTTGCGTCAAATCCTGCAACGCGGGCGCCATTTGACAACTTCATCCAACTTGACTGCAGTCATTATGGATTTTATTGCAGGAGACTCAGCAGCAAGGCTGGTTCTCTTGGTGTGGGCCACAGTTCGACCTGAGTGTGATGGAGATCGTAAGCAAAGCTCGACCGGCAACAACGGAAGCGTGTGGTGGTTCTTTTCATTCTGAGCGACACCGCCCCCAAGGCTTTTCGGGGGCCGGAGCGCCGACGCCGAGGCACAGGCTTGGACAGTAGCCTTTTTCCGGGCCGCCAGTCGCGCTAGCCCGGTTAATGAACCCTGCATGATGACAGCAGCCACTGCCAGCACTATCACTAGCAACAGCCACAGCAGCACCCACCACCACTAGTGTTGCAAATGGCCATGGCACTCGATGGAGTGCAAGCATCTGTGTTGATGGCGATCAGAGCGTAAGAGAAACTTGGTTTGGGAGTCAAAAGTTATCACCGCCGTTGACGTGGCATTCGTTTTCGCGCGTGTTCCTGTACGTGTCTTGGGCGGTCAGCCCAGATCTTGCCCGACGACACCTTGAACACGTGGTTGGTCGAAGCGTGCATTAGTAGTGGTAGTAGTGGTGGCAGTGGTGGTAGCAGTTCTAGTAGTAGTAGTAGTAGTAGTAGTAGTAGTAGTAGGAGGAGGAGGAGGAGGAGTAGTAGTAGTAGTAGTAGCAGTAGTGGTAGTAGTCGTCGTCGTCGTCGTCGTCGTCGCGTCGTAGTCGTAGTCGTAGTCGTAGTCGTAGTAGTAGTAGTAGTCGTCGTCGTCATCGTCGTCGTCATCGTCGTCGTCGTAGTAGATTAGGAGTATCAGTAGTAGTAGTAGTAGTAGTAGTAGTAGTAGTAGTAGTAGTAGTAGTAGTAGTAGTAGTAGTAGTAGTAGTGGTAGTAGCAATAAGATTAATGTGCTACATGCCGCCGTAAGTAGTGGTGGA